GCAAAATCAAAGACTCGTGAAACAGATGAACGTGGACGAGCAAAATCAAAGACTCGTGAAACAGATGAACGTGGACGAGCAAAATCAAAGACTCGTGAAACAGATGAACGTGGACGGGCAAAATCAAAGACTCGTGAAACAAACGAACATGGACGAACCAAATCAAGAACACGAGAACATGATGATAGAGAAAGAGCTGAAAAATCCACACGTGATAAAGAATATGAGATTTTAATGGAAAAGGAAAAGTTCGCTCAGCTTCGACGTGAAAAGGTAAGCTTGAAAATATATTTATAGTATATACAATTCAAAAAACTTGAATAAATAAAATCATTTGTTTACAGACTAAACATGAAACTAAACATGAAACTCATCATGAAAAAGATGACACTCATACAAGTGAAGTCATGGTATGTAAAAAAATAGAAAATCGATTCTTCTTTGCATTTCTACTTTATTAACCTTTCAATAATACAGATTTATATTGAGGAACTTCGTCAATACAGAGAAATGACACTAACATCCAACACAACTGCTCTGGATGTTTTAACTCATTTTCGTAGTGACGATACAATCTCGGATGCCGATGCTTGGACCTTATTCGAAGTAATAGGCGATTTAGGATTGGGTAAATTTTAGATTAATAATATATTTTAAATAATATCGATGTTATTAAATCATTTAATTTTTTAGAACGCCCATTTAGAGATTGGGAATTTGTTACCAAAATCATTGGATCTTGGGAGTTAGATAAGGATAATTCTCTAGTTTTAAAAAAATATGCATATAGAAACCCATTAACATTACAGGTTAGTATTCTTTGTTTATCAATATGTAAACATCCTTTTATTTACATGTTAGAAAAATTTTTTAGGGTTTCAATAATACAGTACCACCAATGGCTGGTTATTTACACCTTGAGGTCAAGAAAAACAAATGGCAAAAACGTTACTTTCAACTAAAAGACGGTTCAATTTATCATAGCAAAGATGCAAAGGTAAGAGAATTTTTAATATTTAAAGCAAAAATGTTTAATTTAATTAATTTAAATATATATTTAACTCTTTTAATGAAAATTTAGGGAACAAATGAAACATTCCTTTGTTCAATGGTATCATTTGATGTATATACTTGTACACAGATGACCAAAAAATATCAAACTAAGTTCGCATTTGCATTAAAATCTCAAGACAAGATTACAATGTTTTTAAATCCAGAAAATGATTATATTCGTTACTTGTGTGCGGATAACTTGGATAAAATGAATGAATGGATTTTAAGCATTAAAACTGCCAGAGTATATATATATATATTATTTCTTAAAAAAAATATATAAAATTTTTGCATAAATTTAATTGATAACTTTATCATTTTTAGAACAATATGATGCGTAAAGAAAGGCCTGAATTGTTTATCGGAATACCTTCTAAAAATGAGAAAATATCTTCAGCACCGATTAATCTTGGCATGCCATTAACAAACGCATTACCTGCAGCGGTTTCTGAGGTTTGTTAACATGTTTTTTTTTTTTAAAAAAAAAATTAATCACTCGATAAATTCACTACTTTAAATAACTTGTAATATGTTTCTTCTTTATACAGACAACCTCGTTAATGAGTGAGATTACATTTGAATTATCAACTCTTAACGTATCTACTACTACACAGAAGCCATTCGCACCTGCTCAAGTAACAACGGCTACACAGGATACAACAAGAACAACTGCACAAGACACAACAAATTCTACCTCTAATCAATCTAATCAACGAGATCCTTTGCGTCATTCAGGAAAACATGCAGATTTTTCAGCTGGCCGTCCTTCAACGACTCTACAATTAAATACCAAAGAACTTAAGAAAAATGAAACATTTAATACATCAAATCCACTTTCTCCACCTGCTGAGGAATCAAAAAAGAAACAATATTCTGGACCATTCAAAGGTGGTTCTTTGTTAGATTATGATGAAAAAAATCCACCAACTAAACCTGTAGAACCAGAATCCGTTACTTTTGTAAAAGGCTCATTATTAGCAACAAGTGATTCATTATTCGAACAAGCAAAAGAGCGAGAAAAAACTCGCCGAGGAGTTGGAACTATCAAAGATTTGAATGGAAATAACGCATTTAATACTGTAAAGTTTCAAAAGGGATCTTTATTAAGTAAAAGTCCACCCGAAATTAGCCAACCATCCCAACTACCTGCGGGTCATTTGGTACAAATAGAAGAAGGTGTTCGTTTTCATAAAGGATCATTATTAAGTAAAAGTCCTCCTGAAACTAGCCAACCATACCAAATGCCTGCAGGTCATTTAATACAAATAGAGGAAGGTGTTCGCTTTCATAAAGGATCATTATTGGCAAAAAGCAAGGAACATTACGAGAGTCACAGTGCGAATGAGCGAGTAAACAGAAAAATAGCAGGAGGTGGTCCATTACTGACAATAGATTCACCGATAGCAAATTCACGAAGTGGAGCGCCAAAGTTATTTTCACCACCTGCAACAACAGCAGGTAGAACACTTTTAGAAATTGATTTAAGACCTGATGCACAACATACTCTTGGATTAAGAAATGCGAAGATACAACCTTTAATAAACTTTATACCTGATAGTAATAATGGTAGCAGTAATAGTAATGGTAATGGTAATGGTAATAATAATAATAATAATAATCAACGGAATCATAATGAATATGGGTCTTTTGCACCTGATAGATCAGATAATAGTGAGGATGATTATGAATTTGTATAAAAAAAAAAAAAAAAAAATATTAATAATATATATATACTTATATACTTGTTTTATTTTATCAATATATATATATTTGTATTTATTTATTTATTCATTTATTATTAATTTACCATTGACTGGTAAAAAGAATATTTATTTATTATATATTTATTTATTTATTGAATTCTCTATGTAATAATTGATTTTAGAATTTGTATGTAATGAAGTAAGGATATTTAATAAAAAATATATGGGTGATTTTTTTTTTTTTTAACATTATTTTCAAAGATTCCATGTTGAATACTGTACAATACGTTAATTTAATTTGTTTGGATTAATGAATTCCGGAGCACCTTCGATAGGATCAGGAACAGGTAGGTATCCCGATTCAGGGATAGGTGCCGCAAGAATTGCACCACCTCCAGGAAAAAAGGCACCACCTTCTGTAATTGCCATTTCTGGGGTGAACAGGCCTACTGGAGCTGAATTACCCATTTGCGGTATTGTTACAGGCAATGGTGGTGGGGCATCAGCAATTGTAAAAGAAAAAATAAAGGTGAAAAAGGTTAAGAAACGAATTGTGATGATAAATTGGTGTTTCTTGCAAGTACGCATTATATATATGTGTAAGCTTAACTGATCTTATTTATGTTGATCTTCGTTTCAAAACTTTTAAATCTTTTCTAAAGATCATTGTTTTTAAGAGCTTTAATAATTATTTTTGTATATTAAAAGATAATCAAGTGCATCATTATGCAAGATAAATCTGATGTAAATTTTTATTGATGACATTGTAATGATGCATAAGGAAATCCTTAACATCTTGATCATTGGTTTTGTATAGTGATACAGGCTGGCTCCAGCCAAACAGCCGTCTTCGTGGGCCGGATAGGTAGATAAAAGATACTCTAGATTAGAATAGAGATGTGCCTTTGCGTGAGATGTTGATATCATATCTCGCGCGATTAAATCACATGAGCTATATCTCACGCGAGATAAATATTCGGTAGTTTAATATATGAAGTCATCATCTCATATCTCGCGCGAAATCATATGATATACGGAGTATATGCTAGGTTTATCGCGCGAGAGGCATATCTCTAGATTAGAATCGATTTTCTTCTAAGAAATTGGATGTACATATTCATAAATTGGCTATGAAGGTTCATAAACGATTAATCAACATCAAAACTAACGTGTTAGAATTTCAAAAAGAATAAAACCCAAATAATTTAGTATCACTAGAATTTGGCAAGGAATTACCTGATATCTTTTTACACGTTTGATATAGTATATTAATTCTGATCAGAAGAGTTGTACTAGCAAAAAGATCGACCTAGGATCGACCCCAGCTAATGGTATGAACTCTCGTTATTGTTATGACTAAATAAAATCCAAATTTAGTGATTTTAGACTCAAAGACTGTGTATAAAATTTCTAGTCAATAAAAAAGGGACAAATCATTTTTAGTAACTTTTTAAATTAAAATATCTCAAATCAAATTTAATGGTTTAATTCTATAACTGCGTAGAATTGAAATAAGAAAATTTTTATTGAATTTGGTTTCCATATAGTAAATTTTACTAATAGAACATCGATATAGTGAATTTATCATTCTTTATTTTGGAAAAACTTGGAAAAATTTATTATGAGAAAAGAAACGTATATATTGGTGAGATTAGAAAGGAAAATATTTTCGATTTTTGGGGCTAAAGAAATATACGTAGAATGATTAGGAGATATACTGTATTTTAATTTATAATATGAGTTTTTACCTTGAAAAACTATCTTAAGGGTATAGCAATTACTACAGTATGCCATTTTCAAGGCATTTACAATATATATATATATAATATAATACAGTAGAAGATAGATTGGAAATTGGAAAAATATAAACTCTACCAAAATCCACTTATACTCTTTTATTTTAAAAACTAACTCTAAACTAACTATCAAAAAAATTGTTAAAAATTTCATAAAATTTCTAGCTTTAGCCAGACAATTATTATTTCTTAAATTTTTTAGAATTTCTAATTTATAAATATTTATATATGAGAAAGAGTTAGTAAAATGTACCAAATTTTTTAATTATTTAATAAGAAAATAACTACATTTAACCACCGGTAAAATTACCGCCCCTATTTATTTTTAGGGTTAGGGTTAGGGTATTAAGAATTTTTTTTTTTTATATATAATTATTTTTTTATATATATAATTATTTTTTTTTATATAATATGATATAGATCTAATATAAGGCCCCGATCTTAGTTCTCATAAGGTTTTCATGGGTCCTGAACATTTTTACTTAGAGCACTTAATACTGTTTACTTAGTACATTTTTGAGATATAGCACTACTAAATACACTACCGGTATTTTTACCACCGGTTAAGATTAGCAATTCTCATTTAATAATAACTTAATTAAATTAATAAAATCTTTTAAATCAATTCTATAAACTTGCAAACTTTATTTATACCAAATTTGATTAAAAAATTTTTATTAAAAAGATTTGGTGTATTCTTCTGACTTATCTTCATATACAGTACAGTATTTGATGTATGTTATTTAGACTTAACAATTATTTTTAAAATGCATATTTCAATATAAAATTTCAAATTATTAAAACTTTTTATACAAAAAGTTTTCAAAAATTAGTCAGTATTTATAAAGCTTATAGCTCTAAAATTATTGTTTTTTTTTTAACCTTTTATAAAATACCGGACAGTAAAACACATCCACTCTTTGTTAGTAAAAACTTTAAATTGTTATAACTTTTTTAAAATATGGTAAATCAAAAAAACTAACAAATTGATAGATTTTTTGCTAAACTACATTTTTGTCAAAGGATTTTTTCATATTTTTTGGTTTAAAAAAATCATAAAAAGTTAAAAATTTATAATAGTTTAAAAAAACATTAATATAAAATATGTATATCTATTAAATTAAGCAATCAGAATCATTAATACCAAAATTAGCCATTATGTAAGCATCAAAAATTGGCCTGTAATATAGATTGGATGCTTTTACTGTCCCGTACGTATATACTATACAATTTCAAAGTTTCAAAAAAACTGATATGTTATTAAATACGTATAAATTACTAAACTTAAAAATCTTTATCTTTTTATTGGTCGTGTTTTGATATATATAATATATATATATATATATAATTTTTTGCTATTACGTATTTCAAAATTTTCTTCTTCCGTTAGTGTAATGAATTACCAAAAAAGAAAATATTTTGTCATTTGATAAAACTGTGTAAAAGTAAAACCAAATATATTTAATTCAAAATATTTTTAATTACGAAATAACGCCCACCTGCACGTTAATTAATGTGCGTTATTTCGCGTATTCGAAACCATGTCAGCTATTTTTGAAGATCCTAATTTTCAAAATAACGCCCACGGACGTTATATGGTACGTAGTTGGGTAATAATTAATTAAATTTAAATATACAAAATAATTTATAAAATTATTAGTAATTAGAAGAATTGCAATTAAGTACAATTTTAAATTTAGAGTTATAAAAAACAATTTTACGTAATTTTTCAGTATAATTAATCTAAACTATTTATAACTATACTGTAATAAATCTCTTATAATTAATGAAAAATCGGGCTGACTAAGAGAAAAATTTGTATACGTATTAAGTAATTTATTACTGTAAATGTTCAAGATATTGAAAGCTCATTTGCAAGTATTTTTTCTGGGGCTTCAAAGATATTCCTTTTAAATAAAATTATTGTCACGGCTGAAGCTAGAATATTAAATATTTTAGTATGAAATTTCCAAACATTTTTCAGGGTGCATTTTTCAGGGTTTTTTTATAGTTAGGTTAGTGTTTAGGATTACAATAAAAGTATAAATGGCTTATATTTTTAAATCGAGAACTCTAATTTACTGCTTCAGCCGTGACAATTATTAACAAAATTATACAATGTTCTGCCAATTGAAGTTGACAAACTGTTTCAAAAGCAGGGGCATTATTAGTAATCTATTCATATTCACGAAGGTTTGGAATTACTATTTAAAAAATTTCAGAGTCTTTAACCATAGATAACTTTTGATTCACTGGTCCTTTTTGGACGATGGCCGTCTCAATGAGACGATTCTAACGAGCCCAAAATTGTTAAAATTCGAATCATGAGATCTCGAGATTTGTGTCACTTCGAGAGGTGACACAAATCCTTAGCGATCTCTGATTGATTTTGGGCTCGCTAGAATCGTCTCATTGAGACGGTCATCATCCAAAACGGACCAGTAAATCAAAAGATATCTATGGTTAAAGACTTTGGAACTTTTAAATAGTAATTCCAAATACTCGCGGATATTTTATAGATTGATGTCAATAATAAAATTAATATATGTATATGTATTGATATAATTTTAGTTAAATAATGCAATATCTATTTTTTGAAACTTTTAAATAAATTTTTTATAAAGTTTATATATGAAATCAAAAAAAAAAAAAAGCCTGCCGGCCGGGTCTATTTAAAGTTTCATGTTATGAAAAACCAAGAAATTAATTTGTATGGACTTATTTTAATTTTACCTAATTTTAATTAGGTTACATCCAGTTTGACCTAGTCTTGGTTCAAAAGACTAGGTTCTAGTCGAACCGAATCTTAGTTTATTGACTGGCCCATAAGCGGTTTGGTCTTGGAATGATTAATTCTCGACCAATAGAATTCGGAATTAGATAGTGAAAATTTTATTCGAATATCTCAGTTCTAGAAATTGAAGCTGCCAAAGTTTAATAGCAAGCCAATTGATGAAAAAGTCTCGCAGTCATTTTTAATTCAATAATTATGGGATTTGTCGCGTAACGTGCAATCAAAATTCGTTCTGTTTCACGAAATCTTATCGTGATCGAGACATCTGATCAAAATCAAATTTCGTACGTACGAAATTTAATTGCACGTTATCGTTACATTTATCTTCGATATTAGTAACAGATGGAAATTTTAAAAAATCTCAGATAATATTAAATATTTTATTGCTTATCTACTTCAGCTTTCGAATTATTCGTATTAGCAGGTTTTATTAATAAATCAATGCCTTATTTTCATCCTTTTCATCCCAATTCCATATTCATAATCAATAGAAAATCATCGATGATTTAGTTGACCTTAAAATAGATATTTTGCTACCATGTGAACATTTATCAAGTTTTTTAGGCATAGGTCAGTAGAGTAAATAATAAGTATAACTAACAATTTGCTGCCGCAACGGTAGATTCTCGAATCACTCGGCATTTTACTAATGGAATCACGGTCGCCTATTAAGTGAAAATTATTCCTGGGCCAATTTAACCATAGTGCGGATTATTTTCCAAAAGTTTCTATTTTGTAATGAAAAAAAATCAGGAAGTTAATTCCGGCTGGAAATTAGTAAACAATTATATAATACGGGCCAAAATTTTGCTGATCATGGACGTTAGGCCGTGACAATTTTGTTAGGGTTAACGTGAAGTAGTTGCTGTGAGTCATTATTATAGATACGTACGTACAGTACAGGCTTATTTATGTCACTAATTTTTAATATAAGATGGGTGCATAATTGTTTTTAATAAAATCGAATAGCAAAATTTTTTTTAAAAAAATTAACCGGTTTGTTTAGCTGATTATTCACTTCATCGGCCAGAATCACTACTTTGGGCTAATTTAGCTTTTAAGAGACTTCGTAAATTTCAGTTTGAATCAAAAATTAGAAAAACAAACAAATAATAAAATTTATAAGCATACTGATATAAACAACTGT